TTTTTTTTTTTTTTTTTTTTCTGTGCGATCCTTCTTTTCCCGTCTTTTTTTTTCTTTTTTTTTCCCCCCCTTTTCTTTTAGCATTGAAAATGCCCTTTGGCGTTGCTAGAGGTCGACAAGTTGCCTGTCCCAGCATATCACACATCGCGAAAAAGAACTTACATCGTTTTCACACTGGGGCGTAACGTGCACTGAAATAAAAATATAGAGCACTGAATGCGGACTGAAACAGGCACTGAATGCGCACCGCATGAAGCAGGAGAGAGGATGAACGGTCACGACCGTGCTTCGTTTATGGCTTGTCTTCCGTCTCGCTGATTGTTCCCTGATTGTTCCCTCGTTCTTCCCTGATTGTTCCCTGATTGTTCCCTGCTTGATTCTTCCCTGATTGTTCCCTGATTGTTCCCTGATTGATTCTTCCCTGATTCTTCCCTGCTTGTTCCCTGCTTGATTGTTCCCTAATTTTTCCCTGATTGTTCCCTGATTGTTCCCTGCTTGATTGTTCCCTGATTGTTCCCTGCTTGATTGTTCCCTGCTTGATTGTTCCCTGATTGTTTCCTGATTGCTCTTCGCTCATTGGTGCATTACTGCTCCCTGATTATTGCGTGATTGTGGCCTGATTGCTGCTGGCGGCAGCTGGTTGATAGCTGCCTTATTGCAGCTGGATGATTGCTGCCTGATTACAACGGCTCATTGCAACCAGCTCATGTGCTGACTAATTGCTGCCTGATTGCTGCGGCTGGCTGCAGGCAGGGGCTGATTTCAGCGCGCTGGTTGTTCCCTGATTGCAATCGGCTGATTTGCTCGCTGATCGCTGCCTGATTGCAGCGGTCTGATTGATGCCTAATTGCAGCCGGGTGATTGCTGAGGGCTTGATTGCAGCGGACCGATTGCGGCCTCGTTGCAGCAGGCCGATTGCAGGGGGCTGATTGCTATCTGATTGCAGTCGGCTGATTTCTGCCTGATTGCAGCGCGCTGATTGCGGTCTGATCGCAAGCTGATTGCCTGCAATTGATGAATTGATGACGGTGAAGAATCACAGGAGAGAGCACTGAGCTGTAGCGCTTGCCTTGTGAACCTCTGTAAGCCACCGAAACTAACTACCCTGTCTTGCCAAATACAAAGCATGTGTGTGTGTGTGTGTGTGTGTGTGTGTGTGTGTGTGAGAGAGAGAGAGAGAGAGAGAGAGAGAGAGAGAGAGAGAGAGAGAGAGAGAGAGAGAGAGAGAGCTGATCTATCCTCCCGCTAGAGAGCTCTGAGCTGTAGCTGTCGCGTTATCAACCACTGTAAGCAGCCGAAACCAAGGAGTCAAGGACCCAATGTTGCCACATACAACGCGTGGTATGAGATACTCAATGACACACGACGGTCATAAGCAGAAATCCACTCGCCTTCGAAACACACAGTACCATGACGACGATCACAATTATGTGACGAGACAAGAACAAGACAAAGACCCAGACAAGGATCCAATGTTGCCACATACAACGCGTGGGCCTATGTGATGCAGCATTTGCCTGAAGTGGCATTCATGACGCCAACGTGTTTCATTCGTCCAGCATTGCAGGGGTAACATATGCCTTTTTATATATATCATCACATAAATATGAGAGCGCAAAAGCGAAAAAAAGAAAAAAAATGAATTCGTTTTTTTATATCTTCTTCCTTACAACTCCCCCTGTTCAGAACCTCTTGCGTACAAGGCCGCCCACGTGGACGTGGTTGAGCGCCGGCTGCCCCCACCCCCGTGTGTCATATCGACCTACTTGCACATAGCCAAAATGCAAAGAGGCACCTCCCTTCCCTTTCCCTTTTCCCGCCCCAAGACCACCTCCCTTCTCCCTTTCCACTACTTTCTTGCCACGAACACACATAGCTTTTCGTGCCATCGAGTGACTTTGTTTTGTAACAAACGGCATAACAAACGGCAAGGCCCTAACAGCCTCTCCGTTTGCCTTTCTCCCTGCGCAAGGATGACACGCATAAATCGAGAAATGGGCCAAATTGAACCCCCCCCCCAAAAAAAAAGAGACCCCCAAAATAAATGAACAGAATTGAAAAAGGATGTACGAATATGTCGACTAACCTATCGGTTCTATCCTGTCAATGGCTATTAGGGCATCGTGTCGTGATAGCAGGGCTCTCTGGGATGAATCTATAACTGCAACTAAGTCCAAATGCAGGGATGGATCTAACTGTAACTGTAACTGTAACTACGTCCAGATTCATTCCACACTCTATGAAGAGCGCGAGCGCGCGCTTAGGAGGCCATACAGTACCGGCCGGCTCTCAAAGCAACGATAACAATTGCCGCCTTATTTTTGAAATAGGATTTTCTTAGATGTATATGACCTTAAATACGACCACGTTCAGTTACGAAGAGCCTTAGTGTGAGTACACACCCCTAGCTGAAAAGGACAAGAGCTCGAACTTCGCAGTGTTCGTACCGTATTCATCAAGGCGTTCTTTTATGACTACTTTCTCAACTGAATCTGGCGGTTATTTTCGGCAGATACATTCCAGAAAGCCGTCTGAGAGTAAGTGCCCTCCCTCATTTTCCTCACTTTTTCTCTTTATTCCTATTCCGTTTTTCGTTTTTCATCCCTTCTTGAAGAAGAGACGTACGATAACTGTTTTCACCCACTGTTACCGTGTGTTACGCGCTTCTTTCGTCTTTCAAAAAAAAAGAGAACTAACTAAGGCCATACTCACACTGTTTGTAAATGCAGCCAGATGCATTCAGTTGCACCTGCAATTGCGGTCTGATACATCCAGTGAAGTTCTTGTGCGACGATGCTCTGAGATTTGTCCGCACTCTCACAGACACACATCCTCTCTCTCTCTCTCTCTCTCTCTCTCTCTCTCTCTCTCTCTCTCTCTCTCACACACACACACACACACACACACACACACAC